GAAAACCATATGGTTTACGCATGTTGCTTTCGATCCTAGTACAACAATTCCAATTAATTAACTATTTTCTTACTTCAAGACTGCCACGATGACCATATTCAAATATTAATGCTGGTGCATTTTGATCAATAAAAAGTCCAATAAATGTATTAACATTTTCATGACGTAAATCTTTTAATTGTCGTAATTCACGCATAACTTTTGTACGAAGTGATAATGGACCAATGTGTAATTTTTTCACTTCAACTAAATCACCCTATATGTATATATATATATATTTAAAAATAAAATCTTTAATTTTCATAAAAAAAAATAATTTACATTATAACGAGCTGTTTTTCCTGCTTGAATTTCTTCACTACGTATAGATACATTACTACGTTCATGTGGTTCATTTTTTAAATTAACCTTTTTTGTTTTTAAATACAATCAAAAGAAAAATTAAAATAAAATTGTTTTTTTTTATACAAACTTTGCTTGTAAATATTGAACCTTTTGGCATAACAAACATTAAATCATCGGGTAATAATATAATTTTATTTGGACCTTTTGATAATTGTTTACGATTACGTTGATTTCTAAAACAGAATAGTTTTCATTTTTTTTTTAAATTGTTTTTCTTTTTTTGTTTTCTTTACTTACCGAACAATAAAAAAAGCAATAAGTCCAGCAGCACATGCAAGAACTACACCCAATAATGTAAATAGTGCAATACGAAGAATACGCCAACCTAGAATATAATTATCATACAATACTTCTAAATCTAGTTATTCAGCACTTAGAATCCAAAAATAAATTATATAAACTAATACAACAACTTAACTCTTCATAGAAATTTTTAATGCTTGAAATAACAACACTGGAAATAAATCGAATTATTTATTGAACCGAAAGATTAAGATGTATTCGTGTATACTCTACCTTCTTCACAACTATCCTTGATGACCTTAAGCTTTGATGAGTACAATGCCTACTGATCAATTACACAGAATTAAATTGATTACTATTTTTAGTTACATTGTTAATACTGTTCGACTTTAGTAACACTCCTACCACTTCATCAGATTGATAGTGCTTTTCAACCTTGTTTGTGGATGAGGCATATCATGAAATAGAATATATCCCCCGCATTTAAAAATCAGTATGATTAACTATTTGAAGTCATTGTAAAGATTTCTACATACCACTATCTTCTGTTATGACTGATGTTGTTGTATCATCCAATGGAAAATTAATACATACATTTAAATTAGTATTAACATTTGTTAATACGGAATTAATAGATTTTAATATAGCCCAACTACCATTACATTGTCGACCAATTAATGCATAAATAAATGAACGTTGTTGATTATTGTCAAAAGTTACTTGACCAAACATAGTTGTTCGATTTGTTAATGGAAAATCTACTATTGATATTTGTCGTAATAAATCAACACTTTCAAGTTCACTCAAAATAAAAATAATCTTCGAAAAAAAAAACAAAAATAAATTAAATCTTGAGAAATAAAAAAAAAAGAAAACTAAAACTTACATCATCAGAAAATGGTATGTTAGATGTAGGATTTAATATTTCTTGTTCATATATTAAAATCATATCATTTATATCATTTGTCATACTAATATCCATTGGTAATAGATGAAGAATAGGAAATGATGATGTGTGATATGATGTTACATTGGGTAAAAATTGTGTAGTATAAAAACTAGCAAAATGATGTGACCAACGAATAAATATAAAAATAATATTTTTTGTTGTTGATATTGTTGATTGATAAGAAGATGAAATAATTGGATAAAGTAATAATTCTTCAGCATAGGAACATATTATAAAAAAGACTAGAGAAAAGAAAATCATTCGAAGTCAATTTATCATTTATAAATACTTAGGTTATACCGAAAAAGCAGTAGTGAAAGTAGTTTAATTTCGTATAGAAAACTTGAGGAAACTTTCTTTGTAGATTTACTGATAATACAAACAACGCTCGTTTTTTTTTTCTATAATATTTGAAAAAGATCAATTTCTTTTGCTTTTCTTTGTTTAACAAAAACACATATTAAAATATCATAGAAAAAAGAACGTTGATTGTACTATTAGTGAATACACAAAGAAAGTTTTCTATACGAAATTAAACTAATTCCATCACTACTTTTGAACTCGAATCTCATCGAACCATAGTTTGATAATTCTAGAATTTTTAGACCTGGACCTAATTAGACGAGCTCTACTCTGATAAAGTCACCAACGGCTGTTTCTCTAGAATTATTCACATCCGATAACATGTAGACTACATGGTGACATATACATATCCCTGTGGCTACTATGCGTTTAATTAGTGTTCATGATGAGTTTAAGTAACTGAGCATTGAACGACACGGATTCATTCTATCATTCATCAAACAAAGCATTCTAGCTATATCTATTAACATATAAACATTAATAATAAATGAGTAAGTTTTATTAAAAAAAAGTCTATAGACTAACCTCTACTTTTTAGTGAATAAACTGATGATGCTGATGATGAATAATTTGATAGAGGTATTAATTTTTCAAAAATATAAGAATTTTTAGTTAAATAATTTGAAAATTGTTGTGCTAAATTTGAATAAAATTCATTTGAATCACTTATTATCATCGAAAAATAATGTAAAGAATAATAACTCATAAATGATATAGCTGCTTGTCCTAATTCTTCACTTGTTACTGTCAATTGTAAAGTATTATTGAATGAATATATTTGATTAAAACATATTGGAATACTTATATATTTTGTTGGATAACTCATAGCTATTGATGATGGATATGAACAATCACCTGTATTCCATTCAAATACAATTGATTGAATATTAGTAGCATTTAAAAGTGTTCGTGTTGAATAAAGTAAATCAACTGTCGATGATGATAAACGTTCTACATATGTAGTATTTGTTAAAATTAAGCCTTGTGACTGTAGTAATACATTTATATCACTTGCCGCTGTATATGAAAATACATAAGTTATATTACTTAAACATAAATATGATGAAATAAATGTAGATAAAATAATAATACTAAATAAAAATTCCATTTATACAGAAAACCAACTGTTTTTTTTTGTTTTGTTCAATTCATTATCTCAAAAATAAAAAAATAAAAAGAAAGTATAAAGTAGAAAATATTTTTTTTCAGTTGATTTGTTTTTTTATTCTTTTAACGTGCAAATTTTTTAATAACAACATAAGTATAGTTGTAAAATATTCAAACTATGTAAACATAAAACTAATCAGATTTATTTTATTTTAATACCTTAAAAATAAAAATAAGAACGAATGTTTTTCTTTAGAAATATTTTAATAATTAATAAAATAAATGTATCAGAATAAATTGTTTTTATTAAGTTGATATGAATTATCCGATTTTGAACAAGAGATGTTTTGTTTTTTTTTTCTTCTTTATATATTAAACTTACTTGCCTAGTTTTATTATCAAAATCAAGTTTGTAACAGCTTATAAATAAGATACATCTGTTTATGCACTCAAAAAAAATCCAGTGATGATGATTATCGCTTCAAGCAACGCATAGCTTATTTAAATATGTGTGTGTGTGTGACATGCGCCCATTATCTCTTATTCTTAATCACACTAATGAAGAGACAAGCTTCTATCCCATCTTGTTTCTCTGTCTTGCTATGAATCTTCTACTTCCTATGTGCCTATAATATTGTTTAATCAATCTCGTTTTTTTTTTTCTTGTCTGAAAATGACACGAGAGAACAAGACGGGAAGCGAAAAACTTTGTCAGCATCAAGTATGAGGAAAAAAAATCTATTCGGTTTGTTAATTCGAACGTAAAAAGTGATGAGAATAACAATGACAATAGCAATAGTAAGACATAAATGTTGTTGTTCAAAAAGTAAAAAAAAAAAAAGCGCGAAACGAAGAAAAAAAAAGAAGAGATAAAAGAGAACGATAATCGGCAGTGAAGCAGAAAGAAATGTAATGTGATAAAATGAATACATCAATGCGCTTTGTTGTTGGTAGCTGGCATAGTCTGCGGCTGAAAAAAAAGTGACATTAAAATGTCGAAGTTTGAAGCGCATATGCAACCAAAATAATTGTGGGTGTCGCATCATTAAAGAATGACAGAGAAGAAACGAGACGATTTCCGCTTAGTTCTTCTTCCATATATAATTAGAATGAAAAAAACAAAAAAAAAAAGTATGACTAAATCTGAAGTTTTTTTGTATATCTCTAGTTTCCACATAAAAATATTGTTTATTATTGAAAATATCAAAACGACAAATATTACGTGAAAACTTGTCTATCAATCGATTATGTTCGCCAATTAAATATAGATATATATTTTAAAATATAAAATAAATTGTATTTATATTTATTCTATTGATATGCTCATGATATTTAGACTTACTTATCTATTGAATGACTAACTCAAAAACAAAAAACCTATAAAATAAAAATATAATATCTATCAAAAAGTTATCTATTTTATTTACACTTGTTACATCTGACTCTGTTCATTGTAGAAAAAAGTGAATAAAAAAAAAAAAAAGTAAACCTGGTTTGAATAAAAAAAAAAAAAAAGATAGGCTGCAAAGGAAGAAGAATAGATGGGAAAGAAATTTTATTTTCTCGACTTTTTTAGTTTCATAAAACTCGCAGTACGCGGCTGCTGAACATCTTCTTTATCCTCACAGTCATCGTCGACGGTGTAAAGAATGTAGCATGTCACTAATCGGCTTAAAACAGATGCGTTTTCTCCGTTGTCATGGTGCTTCTTTTTTTTCTCTAGTTTTATGCGCACTTAGATAAACAGATATATAGTATGCAACTGACAATGTAGATTTGTGCTTGATGGATTTAATTAGAAAAAATTGATGCTGTGCAAAACTCATCAAGGAAACGAAGATACAGAGAAGAGAGAGAGAGAGAAAAAAGAGTCATGGCTCATTCTAGTGCATCACAACAATAACGAAAAACAAATATATATATATAAAGTTAATCAATTAGAAAAGTCAAATTTACACACAATAGTACCGTCAAGATGTGGTACAGGTGTATGAATATCTTCATTATCAATTTCTTCATATACATATGTTGGTGTTGATGTTATACCATCATTCATTAAACATATTTCTGATGGATCAATACGACGTTTAAAATAATAATGACATTCATTTATTTGATTATCAAATTTTTTTCCAGCTAAATGATGTATACGAGGTTTAATATCACCTAATGTAATACATTCAACAGGAATATTCAAATGAATCATATATGGTACATCTTTATTTTGTATAAAACATGCCAATGGTGTTTTAATTGATGTTGTTACTAAACTTGTCGAACCTTAAAAACAAAAAAATACAAAACAAATTTGATTGAAAAATGTGTTGTTTTTTTTCTTCTGTAATAGGAGATCATAATATTAAAAAATTTAACATTTTATATTATAAGAATATAATTAAATAGCAAAATACTTTATTAAGACTAATATATATAGAACAAACATTAATGAATATCTCATATATAATGAGATTAATAATAGATTATAAAGAAAAAGAACGTGTTCAAAAGACACATTATAATATATTATATACGAGACACAACAAAAAAAACAACATATACGATGTTATACTCTTATTATTCTCATTATCAATTTGTTATTTAAAAGATACAAAAAAAAAGAATTCTTTTGTATAACTATAAATTTATTCATATGAAATTAATATGATTAAAATAGATAATATAATTGACACGGAAAATCTTAAATATTTTCTATTTGTTCACTATTATGTCAAGAGACACAAACGATTACAAAAGTTTTTAGACAAAGTGTTTGTTCATTTTTAATCCGCTCAGAAATAGTCCAGACAAGAATATTATACTCTTTTCACAAAAATCAGCTTAGAAATATTGAGTTTAAATGCTAAAAATTATCAGAGGTGATTGTTTTCTTTTAAAACTAACATTTTTCGATAAAATATAATATTGAAATAACCTGCAGATTTTACTCAAATGAGAAAGCTACAAGCATATTTTCATAAAATAAGTATTTAATAAAAACGGAAATTAAAGTGCATTAGCTTCTGGATCTATAAGATGATATATATATAAATCAAGATCTTAACATTCAAACTAATTTTTTTCTCGGTTTTGCAAATCTTATTTCACTAATCTCTTGAAAACTATCGGGTCACCTGTTTCATGAAAATTTTAACAATCTGACTTATAACTTTCCATAAAATGAATAGTTTTCGCATGAGTATCAAGCAATTTATTCTGTCACTGTCTTTGTATATAGGATTGATATAAAGAAAAAAAAACACGCTTTCATCTTGTAATAAGAGCAATGAAAATGTCTTAAATCTTGACAATACAAATCTGCAATTCGAAAATCAATTTTTCTAATGCTCCTTAGCGAACTACGATATTATATTTAATAAAAATTGTAAATATAAAAAAGTAATATCTCGACAGTGATAGCCTATAGATGTCAATTCTTTTCAAAGTACTCATAATCCATTAAGACCGACATGATGCACATATATATCCGGCTAAAAAAACGATTAATCCGTTGGAGGATTTCCTTCATCAGATGCTTTTGTTTTCAATGAGGTTCAAATTTTTTGTCTACGCAGATTCTCACTAATTTATAGAATCTCGAATAATTACTATTGCTAGTAGGTCTAAAAATAATATCCTTACCGAGTGTTCTATTTCCATTAAAATTTGTTAATATATCTTTTTTAGATATATTTTGTTTTGATGATTTAACAGTTGATGTACTTATTGATGTATTTATGCTTTTTGGTGTTGAAGAATTTATTCCTTTATTTCGTTTATCTTGTTGTTTTTTATTTAAATAATTTTTCCATATTTGTGATGAAAGAAAATTAGAATAAAAATTTTGTTTTAAATATTGTAACATATCTTTCATAGCTGGTAAAAATATTGTATATGGATCATATGAACGTTTAGATATTAATTGTCGAATTAAATCTTTTGTTATTGGTTGTAACCAACTATTTGATATTGTTTCATCATTAATATATTCTTTATAAGCAGCATGTACAGCATATAAAGCTTCTCGTTTATTTGATCTTAAATTTGATATACCAATAACAATAGCACAAAATCCAACTAATGATTCACGTCCATGTATTTGTAAAAATTCAGCTAGAAGTTGAAATGTTTCTGTATTATAAATAATATCTGATATTGATGGTGTTGATATTAATTGTATACGTTTTGATGATAAATCTTGATTACTACCATAACCACGTATATAACGATTTGATAATGATGTTGAGTGACAACTACGTGTTGAACTTCCTGTACGACGTGTACATTCAGTATCGCTATACATTTTCTATTTTGCTTTTCTTACTGAATATATGTATATATATATATATATATGAATATGAGTAAGGTCAGTCCAAATATGACCGATGAAAAAAAAAAAAAACGAATTCGTTCATTTCTTTTCTTTCGTCTTTCAGACAAATGACTGTTTTCGTTCGTTTTCTCATCGTCATTGCTATATTTTATTATTTATTTGATCTTTTATATTATATACCGACATCAGGCAAAAGCTGAAAAAAACATCTGTTATGTTAAACTAAAAAAGAAATCAAAAATAAACGAATATAACAATAAATATACATTTGGGAAAAATTTTTTGAAAACATTTCAATATGTTGAAATTTGATCATAATAATAAACTAATTTATATTTATTTATTCTAGAATGATGTTTGATATTTAATTGTAATAATCAAATTTTGAACTCTTCTTTAAATAAAATATGATTATCTAATGGTTAATTTTCCGATTGATTTTCACACATTGACAAGACTTTCATCATGAATTCACACTGTATTTTTTTGTTTGTTTCATTGAAAAAAAAATGATTTAAGCATCATTACCTTAATTCATTTTTGAATATATATATATATTATATTGTGATTGAAGACATTGAATTATGTTTAGATAAGGTAAGAAGAATGACAAAATGATCTTATAGATCACATCAATTCAATTTATTGTTTTATACATAACAACGTTCGATTCTTGAATCGAACAATTATGTCATCATTTCTATTAATATAGAATGATTAGACTGCTAATGTATTTAAATCATTAAGTTGATTTGTCATGGGAACTGCTGATTTTTTTATTGTTCTTAGATGAACAATTTCGAATATGAATAATTTGACTCAATGAATTTGTTATCAATAGAATAAACTAAATAATACATGAGATAGATGTTTTTTTTTGTCTTTTTGATTATTTTTTAATTTTAATGTAATTTCCGTTGCTGAGAATTTACTTTCCGTTGACTATTTAAAAGAAAAGAACTAAGTAATATACGTCTAAACGTGAATCTTGACTTCAACAACACCCACACTACTCATTAACTCATTTCTCCTCTTGAAAAAAATCAACGTAGAATAAATCGTGCACACTAATGAGATAATAGACATAATAGTACAAAGAAAAAAAACCAAAATCACGCAGAAGTGTATATGTAGTAGAAACACAGAGATAATCTTAAGCGAAAGTTATAATACATAATACGCTTCTTTTTTGTTGTTTCAATTGTGTTAACGAATTTTTTATCTATAGTTTGATGCATATTGAATAAAATATATAGTTCAAGAAGTGTGATTAAAAGGATGAACTCAACTTCTGATGTTATGTATCGGTATGATAAGACATCATTTATATAAGTGTTTTGAATTTATAAGATCATTTTGATCAAAAAATATCATATATATGAATTATCTGATGCAAATACATTGTATCTATTAATCATGAATACAAACTCTGTCATTGATTGTGCATGAATAAATTTGATGATCAAAAGAAACTTTTTGTTATTCACTAAAAAAACTGAATATTCGTTTTATTTAATCAACACACACACACAGATCTTTATTGTCAATCAAATGATATAAACAAAAAAATAAAAAATAAAAGAAATTAAGTTAAAATCACAATCGAAGAATTTCATCGGATATTTCGGCATCTTTATTTAATTCTTGTCTATCAAGTGCTAACCACCATTTAGCCAATAAACCTTCACATACAATTTTTGTAAACCATGGTGTTGTTATACCTTGTTGAACAAAATCTTTACATTCATTTAATGTAACTGATTTTATTTGTTTAACTTCATTTTTATTTATTTTAAAATCAGTTAATAAATCAAGTTTAGAATTTTGTTTATGTTTAGCAATAATAATATAATCAATTTCACTTTCACCAAATATTCCATCATCAGGTATATTTCTTGATTGATAAAAAATTCGTGTTAAATAAATTAAATCTAAATCATATTCATAACCAAGTTCATATTTAATTCGACGTATAACAGCATGTTTAACACCATTAATACCATTCATTTCAATATTATTATATAATGGATGACTACAACATGTATTTGCCCATAATAATGGATATGTTATTTTTTCTGATGAACGTTGTTGTAATATAAGACGTGATGGATATGTTGAAGTATCAAATAAAAAAAATGAAAATGCACGATGAATTAATGATTGTTCACATTCAATATTTTTTAATAGATGTGCATCTTTTTTTGTTATTTCACCAATAATATGATCATGTTGATTAACAATCATTAATGGTTCATAAAGTAATGATACTTGTTGAGAATCATATTTATTAAGAAAATCAGAATTTTGATTATTTATTTTTGTTGATAAATTACGATAAGTTGATACAATAATATTAATTGAACGTTGTATAAATGATTTAATCATATTTTTACTCTAAAATGAAAAATATCATTTAAGTTTAATAAATGAAAAGGTATGATTTAGCTTTTTTCTTTTTTTTTTTTTGTTGTTTTGTATTTAATAAGATATACAAAACAAAAAAACAACAACAAAACATAGTTATTTCAATAACAAATAATATTATTCAAACCATTTTTTCTTTGTTTTTTGTGGTAATTGTAATTTATTTTTTGTATTTGCTGCAATTATTCGATCAAGATTATCTCGTATTTCACTTTTAGATTTTGTTTTTGATCGTTTTTTTTTCTTTTTAATATTTGAATTATTAATAAATTTTAATTCATTATGAATTTCCATAGAATTTTCATTATCATTTAAAGAATTATTTAAATCTTCATTAATTTCTTGTTTAATAATTTCACTAAGACGAATTTTTTTATTTTGTTGTTGTTGTTCAAGTAAATCTATTTGTTTTTTCTTTTTTTTTATATTATTTTCAAATGATAATGTTTTATCTATTGAATTTTTTAATAATTCTTGTTTAGCATGTAATCGTTCACGTCGTTCTTCTTTTAATTGTAAAGCATGACGATTTTCAATTGAAAATTGAACAATAGGTCGTCGATTTGAACCAAATATATATTTATTATTATTAAGTAATTCAATAATTTTTAATGCTATTTCATGACGAGATACATTAATAAAACCATAACCTATAAAGAAAAGAAAACTTTTGAGATGATATTTATATGCCTGTAAATTTTATGTACTGATAAAATCACACCATATTCAAAGAAGAAAAAAAACGATCATCGAAAGAAGATCGTACCATATTGAGATAAAGACATATGTTATCAAAACGAAGGACAAAATCATAACTAAGTCAACAAGACTTACGTCAATAATAATGATTACTTACAGATCTAAATCGATATCTCTCTGGATATGTGTTCTGCAATATTTTAAATCTATCGCAAAAGTTTGATATCAGAGTTGGACACAGAACAAATTGTTTATGAGTCGAGACTATGTTTACTCAAATGATCTATGAAGATACTGAAAAGAGTTCATACTCTTAGCTTATTTCTGCAAAGATATTGCACTTTGATGATATTTTTTTAAATCTTAATATAAACTACAGTGGATGTTTAAAGTCTCGCATTACTTTTTTGTTTTGATTCGCATTTCAAAAATACACGATATAAATTCAAATTTCTTTTTACCTTCGAATAGCGGAGCTCGAGTACTATGTATTTGAAATAAATAACCCTTAAATCGAAAACACAGAAAAAAAAAACAAACTTCAGTGCTATGACAAAAACTATCCAAAAAAAAAGACAAAATGGTATGATCGTTATCAGTTATAGAAGTTTAACTAAAGTTGACATAATACGAAAATCAAGTAAGATTTTGTTTGATATTTTTATGAGTCAACAAAACTGTCTATATTAAAATTTTTTATAACTTTTTCTGGTATAAAAAAATTTAATATAGATAGTTTCGTAAAGCTCATCGAGATCTATCGCCTCATGTAAAAATACCAAAAAAAAACTTCTTCGATTTTCACATTATTAGGATCTTACTCAAAATCATAACAGTCATAGCAACTTATCTTTTTTTATGTAGTTTTTGTCGTAGCACTGAAGTTTGTTGTCTTTCAGATTTAAAGATTATTCATTTCAAACATATAATACTCGAGCTGTGCTATCCGAAAGTAAAAAGTAGTGCGAAACTTTTGTATTGAAAAGATAATTCAATACTAACCAAGAGATTTTTTAGCATCTTTATTTGTTTTCATTACTCGACATTCATTAATAATAATATCTTTCATTGATATATTATTTTTTTTTAATATATCAATAATTATTTTTCGTAATTTATCATCATCAATATTTTTTGGTAAATTATGTATAGTTAAACGTGTTGATGAAATAAAATATAATGAATTTTTAAGTTTTTGTTTTTTAATATCTTCTAAATTTTGTCGTTTTTTTAAATCATTTTCATTTCCATCTAATTCATTTAAATTAAGTATAACACCATAATTAGCAAGTGATAAATTACGTTGATCATGTTTTTTAATATTTTCTTTTTTTTTATCACGTAATTCTTTTGCTTTAACAAGTTGATTACGACCTAATGCCATATCAACTTGTAATTCTTGTCCATGATATGTATAGAATAAATTTAAACATTTTTCTGCATCATTCGATGAAGTAAATTGAATAAATGCACTACCACGTGGATGTTTAGATATTGGATCAATAACTAAACGACATGATTGAATAGAATATTGACCATTTGATGAAAAAATATTTTTTAAATCATCTTCTGTAGCATCAAATGGTACATTACGAACAAATAATGTGCGATGTTCACGTATATCACGACTACTTTCATTAGTTCTTGTTTCTAAATAAAAACAAATTATGATAATATTAAAATAAAGAATCAAAATATATTATTTGATAAGCTAATTGAGAAAAATTCACAAATGAATTTATTTTTTGTATGCAGAGAATAGACAGATGCATCATCAAAGAGCTGTGAACGCTTTGCAGAATGAAGATTATTTTATCATGTAAGATGATTTACTTGATATTTCTTCTTCATCTTCAATTGATTCTTCTTGTTCATCTTCAACTTCTTGTTTAATTTCTGTCTGTTCTTGTTTAATGTCTGATGCATTTATATTTGATTGAATACCATAACTATCGTTTTGAATTGATGCTAAAATATAAAATATTTGAAATTTATGAGAAAATTTTTTTATTTTTCTCACAAACTTTTTTCTTGCATTTTTTCATAGACATTTTTTGGTAAAGACCAATCGAGAGCTATGGGTCGACCTTAAAATATATAAATCGAATGATTATTGTTTGAATAAAAATATTTATTAATCTTTACCGAGTACTTTTTGACCATTCATTGTTTGTATTGCTTTTTGTGCATCTTCAAGTTTATCAAAAGTTATAAAACCAAATCCTTTCGATTGTCCATCTAAATTAAGAATTTGTTTTTTTGACAAAAATCAAAAAAAAATCAAAAATTAAATTGACCTTTTTTAACAATAGATACATTGCTAATTGCAGCATTAGATTTTTCAAAAGCTTTTTTCAATTGATCTTCGTTAACCTGATTGTAAAGAATTTATAAAAATTTTTTTTTTTGAATTTTTACTATTGAGAATTTTTACTTACTTTGAAACTTAGATTACGTACAATGATTCGAGGAATATGAACTTCAAAATTGTCTTTCTTTTTCTTTTTCTCGATTTTTCCATTTTTTTTAATCTGTTTCAGTGACTTGTCTGATGTTTTCGAATCGTTTTCTTTTTTTTTCATCTAGATTTCGAATCGAAATCAATATATATATATATTTGGAAGTCTCTATTCTTTTGTGTATGGAAAATCAAAATATGAATGAAAAAGTTTACTTGTGTCCGTTCTTTTTTATGATTGGGAATTTTACTATTGCTGAAATATGATTTAAACTCTATTAAAAGCGAAAATAAAAACTGAAATGGATCATTGTTCATTCAACGCAATTCAATGTGTATCGATGGAATGAATCATCATTCCTTGAATGTATCCAATAAAATATGAGAATGAATGAAATCGTGATTTCTATGGACGAGTAAACGTAAAATGTAAAAAAGAAAAAAGATGGCGCAAACATACATAGTGTCTCGGGCTTATCGAGACCAAGTTTTTATGGTTCGAATCTCGATAATTTCTTGTCCAGTGGTTCTAGTTTCGATCTAAAGAGAACTATTTCAGATCAGAAGACTACTGTCTGCATGCATAAGAATCGTCTAGAGTAGAACAAAAGATCTGTATGAAAAGAGGAAAAGTGTATGAGACTTTGAGAATAATAGATTATTGTGTGTTGAATAAAAACAATTCGGCCCAACTTATACAAGGTCTATAAAATAGCACAAATATATCCAAGTATGCTATTATCAAGTAAAGCTCCTATAAAATTTATAAAATATACTTTGTCTTTGAACTACCAGAGAACGGCGAGTTGTTGGAAACTCGTTCAAAGTATGTCAGAGAAATCCAAGTCTTGAGATGATAAATACAAAGGTTTTTGAATCTTCAGTAAGTTTTGAAAAAAGATCATTTTAATGATTTAGCCTTTATATTTTACTCGTAACAATAAAAACATTCGACAGGACAGGAAAACTGTAGGTGAAATCATTATACGCAGATGAACCTTCTTGTACTGTCTTAATTATGTATCGAAGAAGTTAATGTATTTGTCGGGAATATTTTTCTGTACGAAACTCTTATATTTAAAATCAAACTCGATTATATCTTTTCAGGTCTATACCTGTGTCACGCTAGAAATAACAGAAGTAAAAAGCTTATTGCAGTTTCAGCAACTATCTACACAGGACTTCGATTTGTTTTGATTCTAAATATAAGAGTTCCCTAAGAAAAAAGGTTTTCTAAAAATTCAAACTATTAAAACACCTATTGGTCCTTCTTCAATGCGGGAATAAGAAAGTGTCAGAACTAGACATGTGCGGGACCAACTTTTTTTGGTCCCGGTCCCGGTCGCGGTCCCGGTGAAATTAAATTTTTGGTTCCGGTCCGGTCCCGGTCCCGGTAAATTTTTTTTGGTCCCGGTTTGGGTCCCGGTGAAAATTTTCATTTGGTCCCGGTCCCGGTCCCGGTGGAAAATTTCCTTTGGTCCCGGTGGAAATTTTCCTTTTGCTGCTGATTCCGGTGAAATTCTGTTTTTTAGTCCTGGGCTCAGTTAACACATTCGCTACGATGTGGCCTAACAGTGAGCCACGCTACATTTTAACGAGAAACTGTATAGAAAAGTACTTTATTTTTCTTTGTTCTTAGACAGGAGGTTGAACATAAAGCTTTATCTGTTCTGCCTTCAGAACTCTTTTTGTGTCCGTTATTCCATAGCATGATGGGTCTTGTTAAAAAAATCAAGACAAAAAAAATTGTTACTCACAACAGAACGTTTTTACTTTCTTTGCTACCGCATAGCTCGCTTCTCTTGACTGTTGTGCCCTTCCTTTCGCAAAGCAGCCAGTACAGCGTCTGCGGACATTGCCCTTAAATCCTTCCTTTTCTTCGAGCTTGCGATTAGTGAATTCGCGCTTGAATTGGGTTGCTGATTCAACTTCTCGAATGGCATGTCATGCTGAAATGACCTCACAGGGGTTTCGCCAAACTACAGAATGGTTACTTCGCTACATGTGATATTACAAATGGAAAAGAGAAAACGACAGATCAGCATAGGATGAAAAGACCAAGCAGTGCATTTATCGCAAGATGAATGCAGACGAAAATGAATCTCTAGAGCTACTCTTTAATAAAACCGAATCGCGTCGAATGTGTTAAATTTGGTTTTTGTTCTACACCCAGTCTAAGTAACCTTACTTTTTCTGTTATTTGTCCATAGTCAGAGAAGTTGTTGCGGAATCTGCCGGTTTTAGATCTGGAGCAGTTCTCACTTGTATTTCCGCCGATGTTTCTTATCAACGGCAAACATGACCGGGACTAAATTGTTTTTCGATCCTGGTCCCGGTCCCAGTAAAATTCTATTTTTTGGTCCCGGTCCCGGTCCCGGTCCCGGTAAAATTCTATTTTTTGGTCCCGGTCCCGGCCACCGGGACCGGGACCGGGACCGGGACTGGTCCCGCACATGTCTAGTCAGAACATCTATCTACGGTTGATGCAAACATAAGAGATGAGTAAAACAATTTACACCCGAAAACCAGATGATTCTAAGATAAAACTATTTTCTAGCTGAATAATTTTGATAGCTACTATTTGTAATGATAGTCCAACAAAAAGTGTTGATTAACTGTACAATATTTCACCATTCTTAGTAGGATGTGATAATATAAAAATTTCGATCAAAGCGGAACTAATATATATTCAAGCGATAGTTATTCATGACAAAACAATATTTTATTTTGAGAGATGATATTCCACCTTTTCGAACAGTTGAAAAATAATATGAATGGTTTTGCAAAGGTCGAAAAAACGTTAAAGACCAAGAACAACCTATGTAATTCAAACTATATCTTTGATGACCATTCTTGAAGTCAACTGTTACGATATATGACTAGCCATAATCTTTTTAAATTTACAATGATCACAAAGTTTTTTGTTGAATGACTCCATGATGGTTATATGAAGATCATAAATAATGAGGCCATGGATTTGTTCCATCTTTTCGGATTGAAATGGAGCCTGACCGCCAAAAATAAACTACGATCTAGTATGAACTTAAATGTAAAAGCGAAAGTTGAATAGCTACGATCAAAATTCAAATATTGTTACAGTGAATATATCATCTAATTCATTCACATTCGAAAAATGAACAGTTTCAATACGATGTCGTTTACCTTATTGTTCTCATCAATTAACAACCAGTAAATCTTCATTATTCAAACTACACATATCCAAAAGTATTTCTTCAAATGAATATACAATTGTAAATTAATTAAAATGTCTTCTTTCTCAAACATTAACAAGTCTTAATTCACTATTTACCATAATCTGTTGCTGAACATGATCATTATGCTATAAATAAAATACCTCAACTTGTTGTACAGCATTGTATCGTTGCAAACTTTGTTTTATTTATGAACAAGTATTAAACACCATAACAATTTATGACACATGTTAGTCATGAAAAAAATAACAAATATACAACGATTCACATTATTATGATTTTTGAACAAATTGGACTCATTATATAAGATAAATTAAACAAAATTCATATATTTCGTTATTCAATGGTTTAGAAGAAAATGAAGATTATTATTAGGTATAATGTATGCTTCTATGACAATTTTGTTATCATTTTTATGACTGTCTTGTCTAAAGAATCAAATGTCTTCTTATAATGGAATTGCAAGCAGAGATTTTGCAGCTCTTTCACCTCTTCATAGTTAGTGGAGAGAGAGAGAAAACAATAGCTCAGGCATCTTTCCATACAAATCGAGGATGGCAGACATCAGACTCCTTTTCCATATTTCTTTGGAACATAAAAGGCGCTGAACTATATTTTGTTTTTCGTGTTAGAAAAGAGATTTAGATCTTTTGAACTCTTCTTCAGAGGAAAAGTTAAAGAAGTTAAAAAAAAAAGTTGAATTAAATATTTTGTCTTTGAAAAAAATGACAGTCGTTTTCGATATAGAAAAACATAGCTAATTTTACTCGATATTTAATGCTCTTTCCGAATATGATATATTTTTTTTTTACAAATAAAATAATCAGTTCGACTTGCTTTTTGACTTCTTCAAGTTTTTTCTTGTTAGAAGAGCATAAAATATCTACTTAGGGCAAACCAAAAGTTCGTAGAACGGTTTTAAAGAACCTTGTCGGATAAGGTAACCTATTCAGAAGTGAAAAACCAAATACACCATGTTGTAGAGCTTTTTGAGGCGCGTCGAATGGTATATAATAAATCCTGTTTTCATAAGACTTTGAAGGATCTAGAGTCAATTTACTGATAGACGACTACGCACCCATACTCACACCCTCACCTAAGTATGATAGGCTACTGAATATTGTGGTCCTTGGGATTAGGGTGTGGGTGTGGCTGTGGGTGGGTGGGTGTGAGGTGTAAGTGGCAGGTTTTCATCTACACCCCCACTCACACCCACACCTCTGGATACCTCTAAGTATCCTTATAGAATAGCCCTTGAGGACCTAAGGGTACTCTCATTGAATATCCCCTGAGGACCTTTGCGTATCCCTATAGAATGGTCCTTGGGGCCTTTCTTTACTCCCATAGAATCGCCCTTGAGGATCCGTAGTTATCCTCGTAGCATAGCTCCAGAGAAAAACATGGACTCCACATGGTGGTAAAATATGGACTGGTGTGAAGTGAGCTCCAAATTTGAGATTTACGCAATTTGGAGCTCACTTTCTTTGCCCAAAATTTGTAGACAATATGCTGTACTTTTGAAATTAAAAAAACACTCTCTTTGGCAACCATCATAAAGCGAGGAGTCGTATTTTATTTCAATATATAGTCTATGTGGAGTGAGCCACATTTTTTTGGCTAGTGTGTTTGGATCATTTCACATGACTACATCCAAACATGCAATTCTAGGGTGTCCTATGCTCCTTAAAAACCACTTGCAGTACGAGGTGAAAGCTCGAATCTTTCGCAACCACACAGTGAGAGAATGAACAACTCCTCAGGCATACTTTATCTCCGAGACATACAGCTCGGAGCCCTGAACAAATTCATCATAGAAGACTGCGTGGTGTAAAGTTTGGAGACCATCCCGAACATCACTTGTCGTTGTCACGACTAGGTCAACCGACACTCTTCCTGAAATCTTATTCGTCTCACTTCCAACAATTAGATTTGGCTATGCGCTCCTTTAACTATCTACCTGGAGAACCACTAGTCATATTCGAGCGAATCCTAGGGCTGTCGAGAATGCTCTGTCGATTGATCGGTATATGTGTAGGTGACGATCGCTTCTTTTCGGCTGAAACAGAATCTCACAATCTGATTGGTCCAAAAATCAATCAATCAGTTTTCAGGAAGCCTGTTCTTTCTTATTGCTCCAACAACAAGTAGTCATCTCGAGCCAACCCTGGAGTTATCGACGATGCTCTATCTGTTGACGGTATATGTATGAGGCTTTGTGCTTTTGGTCACCGATAAAATATCGGGATGGGATTGGTGGCTTATGGATCAAACAGATTTATTCTTGTTTTTTTTTTCATTTTCTTTCGCAATCATCGGTATGACAGGATCCAAGAGCGTCAGAGTGCCCTTTGTAATCATTGTTGATGGGAAAATGGCGTTTTCATAGGATTGGTTGATGATCTAAGGCTACGTTGTTACGATGGAAGTTGAAAAACCAAATTTACCATATAGAACTCCACTTTAGGACCTATGGGCACCACTGCATTATCGAGTTCTAGGTCCTATCAAAACCTCTACAAAATACAGGCTCATGAACTATGAGAATCTCTCTATAATAGAAATTGATGACCTTGAAGTACGTCCGCATAATAGGATTGAGGGCGTCGAGGTACTCCTCTATAATTGGACTTGACGACCTCGAGGTATCCATCTATAATAGGACTTGAAGATCTCGAAGTACCCCATCATAATAGCAATTGAGGGCCTGGAAGTACCTCTCTATAATAGGACTTGAAGATCTCGAAGTACCCCTCTATCATGAGACTTGAACACCTCGAGGTATCCCTCTATAATAGGACTTTCGGACCGATGGATACCCCTATAGGGTAGCCCTTGACGACCTATGGATACCTCTATAGGATAGCCCTTGAGGACCTATGGGTGTCCCTATAGGAAGCCCTCGGGGACCTATGGGTACCCCTATAGGGTAGCGCTTGAGGACCTGTGGGTGCCCCTACAGATAGGTCGGTTCGTTTGAATAAGCTGAGCTTGTTGCCCTCTAGTCATATTTTATTGCAATATTTTGTCTATGTGAAGTGAGCCACATTTTTTTGGCTAGCGTGTTTGGATCACTTTATATGATCGAATGAATCATAGTTTACCGTTCGCACTAGTTATATATGAGCAGCATATTTCGTCAACGAAAAGAATAAAAAGAAAAAGATTGCGTTATCAGTTGTTCTATTTTAACTTACTTTGCTGGCTTATAATCAGTAGTCAACAAATGAGAGTTCTTTCTGCTTTCTTGTCATGAAATATTGTATCAGTTCGAACTAGAGATCTGTGAGATAACGGAAAATTAGTCCTATTGCATGTGTATTCTCACAGAAGTTTGATGCAAACAATCGATCAGTCCCCAGGTCAATCACGCTCGGCCGTAAACGGCCGTTCACTAACCAAATACGGCGAATAACGACGACTGTTTACAGTAGCTGTTTACGGCGGCAGTAAACGATGCTTTACAGTATATTACGTCAATCGTACACGCTCACCACACAAGTCCACCGTAAACTGCTACCGTAACAATACGGCGACTGTATACTTTGGTCGGAAAACAACGTAAGGCATCGTATACGTCAACCGTTTCCGATCGCCGTTTACAACAGTCGTACCTAATGCATTACGGCATACTACAGCAACCGTAAACATCGGCCGTAAATTGTCGCCAGTTACGACCCGCGTGGCAACGCGACGGCTGTATACGCCAGTATTATAAAACCTCGTAAGACGCCCCTGTTAAAGGATCAATCCAGGCCCGCATTGCTGTATCTCTATGAAGGGGTAGGAGTGGACCCATACATATACCCTTCAATCGATAGAGAATCCTCGATAACCTTAGGATCGGGCCGAACATGCCAATATGTTGTCCTTATAATAAGACAGAAAAGTCCTCCTGAAGCATGATTGGTCCATTTAATGGGCCAATGAAAGGACGAGTTTCGAATTCTCAGTGTTGAGCTTCGTGGGGATCCATACATATACCCCTCAATCGATAGAGCATCCTCGATAACCTTAGGATCGGCCCGAACATGCCTATATGTTGTCCTTATAACAAGAGAGAAAAGTCCCCCTGAAATCTGATTGGTCGAAATGGACCAATGAGAAAACAGAAGTTTACTCTTCATTCACCGTTTTGTTTGGTGCAACAGTCGTATATATAAGTATCAGCACCAAATCGATTCACCCTTTCTCATCCCATCAACTTCGATACTGGGTAAGTACTTTTCACTCTCCTGCCTAGCAGCTCGCTCACATTTCACTTCTCCCTGTTCCACAAGATGGCGACCCATACATATACCCCTCAATCGATAGAGAATCCTCGATAACCCTAGGATCGGCCGAGTAGTGTCACATATCCAAGATTTTGGAGATGCCACTACATCTCCCGTGGGAGATGCCGCGTCTCCAGCGGGAGACGCGACACCCACACTCGAGAGATATGGCCATTCACCACTGGAGATGTAAGATCTCCTTTAGAGATGCGCATCCCCCACACCCACACCCGCATCTCTCGCGCGAGATGCGGCATCTCCCGCGGAAGACGTGGTGGCATCTCCAAAATCTTGGATATGTGACACTGCTGTTAATGGGCCAATGAAAGGGCGAGTTGCAATTTCTCAGTGTTCGGCTTAGTGGGGACCCATACATATACCCCTCAATCGATAGAGAATTCTCGATAACCTTAGGATCGGCTCGAACATGCCTATATGTTGTCCTTGTAATAAGAGAGAAAAGTCCTCTTGAAATCTGATGGGTCCAGTAAATGGACCGATGAAGTACTGGGGTTCTATTTCTCAGTGTGGTGCTGGGTGGGGTACCATACCTATACCCAGGAATCGATAGAGCGTCCTTGATAGCCCTAGGATTTACGCGAGCATGCCGATGTGTAGTCGTTATAATATGAGAGAAAGTTCGTCCTGAGAAGATCGGCGAAATACGGCCACCGTATATGGTGATTTACGGCCCTATACGGCACGGCGAAATACGGCCGTAATACGGTCCCAGGAAATACGGCGAAGATACGGCCGTTTCTGGTCGCCGTAATGGTCGTTCTGGGTCTTTAATTAGATATTTTTATCCTTATATGCTAGTGTTCTATTCATTCTCATCTATCGTTTGACATGCATACATCTACTATTTTTTAGATACAATATTTCATTGTCCATTTAATTATCTGTTGAATAAATCTCGCGTATATACAAGTAATACTTCATTCTTGACGACGAGTGTTCATCATGTCATGGTTGATGTTTCTTCTTTCGTTCATCCTTTTTGCATCTATCAATCATATGAGTAAGTCAAAATTGAGTGCGTCATCCAAAAGATGTCCACAAGATACCTTATAAATGTTTGAGGCACTCCAAATAAAGATGATTAAGAAGCACAAGCATTGTCTATGAAAAGTCATTACTCAAATAAATGATGCAACAGGGTTGCACTTCCCCGAGTTAGATACATCTCAAAATATCTGTCACGCATTATACGTCGAGCGAATACGTTCGCTACTTTCTCATCTATATTTTCCTAGGGCATGCGTTAGCTGACAGCAAAATGTCTCAGTTGGAAGTAACTCAGAAACCGAATTTTCTCATAATTGTTGCTGATGACCTCGGATGGTCGGATACGTCACCATTTGGTGGTGAAATCAACACGCCAAATATTCAAATGCTAGCCGATGGTGGAATTCGATTTACAGATTTTCATACAGCCTCGGCATGTTCACCTACTCGAGCAATGCTATTAAGTGGTACAGATCATCATATTGCTGGTCTTGGTCAAATGGTAGAAGAAATTATAAACCATCCGGATATTTGGCAAGGAAAACCTGGTTACGAAGGTTATCTTAATGATCGAGTTGCTGCTCTACCAGAAATTATGCAAGATGCTGGCTATTTTACTACAATGAGTGGCAAATGGCATCTAGGAATGACCCCTAATCAAATTCCAGCCAAACGTGGTTTCGATGACAGTTTCTCTTTGTTGCCTGGAGCTGGAAATCATTATGCTTATGATATTGCCGAATCATTCCTTCCACCAGTCTATGTATGTAATTCCACATATATTGATTATGAAACTCTCGAAAATTTTTATTCATCTGATTATTTTGCTACTGAACTTATTAAAAGCTTACAATCAAATACTGCTATAAACAAGAAGCCTTTTTTTGCTTACCTTCCTTTTACCGCTCCTCATTGGCCTCTTCAAGCGCCTGCCGAGATCATCGCCAAATACAAAGGAATATACGATGATGGTCCATCTGTTCTACTCAAAAATCGACTTAAAACTCAACGTAAACTAGGTCTTATACCCTCTGATATTATTTCACCAGCTGATGACATAGCAGAAGAAGAATGGAAAAAACTCACACTCGCCGAAAAAGCTTATAGTGCCAAAACAATGGAAATCTATGCAGCCATGGTTGAACGCATGGATTTTGCTATTGGACGTGTTATAGATTATCTGAAAGAAAGCGAACAATTTGAAAATACATTCATCTTATTCATGTCAGATAATGGAGCAGAGGGTGCCAGTATGGATAGCATTCCGATATCATCTACATGGAATCCAGACAAATTTTTCAATAACAGCTATGAAAATATTGGCAATAAGGATTCGTTTATCACATATGGATTGCGATGGGCTCAAGCAGCGACTGCTCCTAGTAGAATGGTCAAAGGTCATATTACCGAAGGCGGTATTCGATGTCCGGCAATTGTACACTATCCCAAATTACATACATCTTTAAAGATCAGTGATGAATTCACGACTGTTATGGATATTCTACCTACTGTCCTCGAACTTGCAAATATTCCACACCCAGGTATAACATTTCGCAAACGTGCCGTTGTTAAACCGCGAGGAAAATCGTGGCTTCCATACCTACTTAATCCTGATGAACACAAGCACGTTCACAGTGAGTACAATTTTACAGGATGGGAATTGTTTGGTGAACGTGCTATTCGTCGTGGAAATTATAAAGCTATCTTGGTACCAAATGAATCAAATACGGCAAAATGGGAATTGTATGATTTATCTCGAGACAAGGGAGAATTAATCAATTTAGCCCATGAACGAGAAGATGTGTTGAAGGAACTTGTAGAAGCATGGTTCACATATGAAGCTGAGACGGGTGTCATCGTTGCTGAAGATGGCTGGGCTGTTAGATATTCTTCTGATCTCGTCTTATCTAAGCGTATACAAAATGTTGTCGCTCGTATACGATACCATCTGGTTCCTCACGATGAGATTTAAAATACAGAATGTGGCAATTTTTATTAATCTTTTTCCTCGGTTTAAGAGTATAGAGTAAGAAGAAAGAAGTAATTTGTGTGATTTTGTGAGTTAATATGAGTTTTGTGTAATTTAGTTTCATCCCCGTTCATTATCTGAAATACAGATTTAGAAAAACACATTGTCCATTTTTTTTATGACAGAAATATTATAGGTAGGATGATCAAAAAGTTCTCGGAATTCACTGCATCTTGTGCAAAGAAACGACATTTCATCCATTTGTCTATACCATATAATAGAGGTAACGAGCGGGGTATTCCAAAGAAAGTTTCATCCTTCTAACTCATTCCTGAGGTACTGTTTACTTCGAAACAATAGATATAAAATTGGTTCTGTTGGTGATTACCATTGTTTATTTGTTACAAGTGCTGATTATCTAGGTTATCTTGAATCTGTCACCAACACCAAGAATGTGAAAGTTCAGTCATTGCTGAGTATCTCTGATTAGTGATAACTTGGCTCTGGTCACTTCAAATTAGATAGTAATGTTGCCATATTTCTTACTCAAAAACCACAGAGAAAATTGATGGGATGATAGTCCATAACCACCTTTCGTTGTTGGCTAAATTAACTAGTAATAAGTTTAGATCATCGTCACTAATATAGGCAGTACTACTAGTTGCTATAGAAACGATTACACTATATGTGATGGCTTCTATGTGTTCAAAAGTTAGGATATCTTCTTGTTTCTGACACTGTTACAGATTAATGTCACTCGAATAGCTAATGTCGGATTTTTTTTAAAGTACTAACGACCAGTTTTTGAATAACTTTTGATCACTTTGAGTTATCGAGCTACGGTTTTCACCATTCAAAAGAGCAAGCTGGGGGCTACAAAATCCGTCTGATTTTGAATGGTCAAGCAATTGACCAACCAGGAGAACTTTTGCTGACCATTTTGTGAGCTGCCTCGTGCTACTAATTTTCGTTCAATTTGAACTTTCAATGATAGCAATCGATAGAGAAAATTGTTCTCTTTCGATCTAGGCAAGGCTGAGCTCATCATGTCGGTTTGTTCTGGAGTTATACGCATTTTCCTAAGCGCTCCGAAATCAGCCAAATGGTCCTCCATCACGCTAAAATGGTTCTATATAGGGGTAACTTGCCATGCTGAGTCGAATGGTGATGTTTTTTTTCGGTTTCATAGATGCCTGAAGTTACCATATCAATATTCTCGAAAAATGCTCTTTACATGCTACACATCAGTAAATTGCTGAAATTTCGAGAATGTTGATATGGTAACTTCGTGCATCTATGAAACTAAAAACAAATATTACCATTCGACTCAGCATGGCAAGTTACCCCTATATAGAACCATTTTAGCGTGATGGAGGACCATTTGGCTGATTTCGGAGCGCTTAGGAAAAATGCTTATAACTCCAGAACAAACCGACATGGCGAGCTCAGCCTTGCCTAGATTGAAAGAGAACAATTTTCTCTATCGATTGCTATCATTGAAAGTTCAAATTGAACGAAAATTAGTAGCACGAGGCAGCTCACAAAATGGTCAGTAAAAGTTCTCCTGGTTGGTCAATTGCTTGACCATTCAAAATCAGACGGATTTTGTAGCCCCCAGCTTGCTCTTTTGAATGGTGAAAACCGTAGCTCGATAACTCAAAGTGATCAAAAGTTATTCAAAAACTGGTCGTTAGTACTTTAAAAAAATCCGACATTAGTTTCACTTCTGCACCCAAGTTCGCATAATAATTTCGATTCGATGTTATGATGATAGACATGAAGCTATTAGCCACTAATGGTAGCATATAAAATCTAGTCGCCACCTAAAATCCTTCTCAAATTTTGTAAGGTGTGAGTGTGGGTGTGAGTGTGGGTGTGGGTGTGGGTGTGGGTGTGGGTGTGGGTGTGGGTGTGGGTGTGGGTGTGGGTGCAAGATTAGTGTGGGTTTGAGTGTTGGTGTCGGTGTAAGTGTAGGTGTCAGTGAGCGTGGGAGTGGAAGTGGAGGTGAAAGCGTGCGTGTTGGTGTGTGGCGGTAGGTGTGGCTGTGACTGTGAGTGCTAAAAAAGAGAATATTGATATTCACACCCACACCCAGCTAGTAAAATATTTATTGGTTTAGCAACACATCAAACAACAGGTATTAGCATGCATTTGTTTAGTCATTTAATTCCAACAATTGAACCTGAAAATATTGAATATGGAATGAAAAAATTTTAATATCAATTGGAAAAATGATTAGATTTATTTATGATCAAATTATTCTTGATGCTGTTAATAATATTCAACAATACACAAGTCAACGTCTCAATCTAATTCTTTCTACTTACGCATTTGAATCATCAACACCAAATAATAAGAAATTGGTTCGTGTATATAATATCAAAGTTTTTATTTTTTCAAATTCATCTATTGTTTTTAGTGAAGATCGTAGTCTTCTTGATGAATTTTCATCCTCGAATGGAGATATTCTTGTATCAGTTAAAAGATTCCCATCCGATCACATACTACTGTCATCTTTAATAGCCATCTATATATATATTCCTTTTTTCGTTCTATCCATTTTATTCGTTCGTTTTTTCAACCGATATTTTTTTCTTTCCTTTCTCTCCTGTGTCTAAAGTAAACAAGTACCGATTACAGATCTTTCTGGATGCTAAAATATTTTCTAAACTCACTTCAGATGGCTACTGCCTCATCATCATCTTCTTCATACGACTTTTCTAAAACCATCTATTCAAAAATTGATTTTACTCGTCTAAAAAACATTCTACCATCATCACCAAAAATCGTTGCAATAAATCCATCTTCTGATTTAATTCGTGAAGATGACACAGATGATTCAAAATTCTATAATATACCGCGTTTTGTACATCATATTGATGATCGTGCACGTTATGTTTTATCTCAATTCTATACTTATGTAGTCAAGCAAACAAAAGAGACGATGATATTAGATTTATGTTCATCATGGACCTCACATTTGCCAGAAAATATTGTTGGTAAGTGCATTCAAATTGAAATAAAAACTACTAGAATCTATTTCTGCTCTGTAGGCCTTGTTCATGGTCTCGGCATGAACGAATCTGAATTAAAATATAATCCATCTCTCAGCAATGGTTACACCGTTCAAAATTTAAATACAAATCCATCTCTTACACAATTCCCTTCTAATTCATTCGATTCGGTTCTTTGTTCTGTTTCTGTTGATTATCTTATTTATCCGTTAGAAGTATTCAATGAAATTGGACGTATATTAAAACCGAGTGGTCAGTTTATTACTTCGTTTTCTAATCGTTGTTTTCCAACAAAAGTTATTGGAAGATGGATGAAGATGAATGAACAGCAGCGTGTTGAGTGGGTTGCAAACTACTTCTTATTGACGAACACATATTTTGATCCAAAGACAGTGAAAGCATACTCATTTTTTGATAATATGTTTTTGCCAGCGAGATATGGTGAATTTCGCGATCCGATGTATATTGTTCTTGGACAGAAGAAAACAGCATAATAAACTTTTTTGTGCGTCATTTAATTATTTCCAGAATTGTGTTGCATTAAATGTAGAAAGAGCTCGCAAAAATCAACTTGATATAAAGTAAAATAAGAAATTGGATCGGCGACTGCGAGACCTTCAATTCGATTATTATTAAAGGTGCATTTGTGGACACGACAAACATTGTTATACAGTACACAGAAGACTTCAGTGTTACAATTTTTAACGAATAAATTGTTGAGTAAATTGCCAATGGTCGTTCCAGTTATATACTGAAGTTTATGTAGCAACTAAATTGATGTTACATTCATGAACTAAATCTAACTGGTTACTAAAATATCAAGCAGATATCCAAGCAGATGGATTAAACCATATTGATATTGATATGAGTAGTTATGTTGATGAAAACAAATAGAAACGCGACTTTTGTCAGATTGGTTGATTATTGTTAATTAGAAGAAAATAGAATATTATCGAATTCGACTTTGTTGAATTCTACCGAAAAATGAATTAATATATATTAATTTAACAGAGTGGAACATCAGCTTAAAGAATACCATATTTTTTTGGGTGATAAACATGTTATTAAAGAACTAGCATGTCGTGTTCGTTTTTGTATTTATTCAGTTAAATATTGTTCAAAGAGAGAACTGACGGTTATAAAATTATGAAATAAATTAATTAGAAAATGACAGAAATACGTGATATATAATGTACTAAATAGAAAATTAAAGATATTGTATTTGCCCTGCTTCTTGTCCTGTGCTGTCCTGCAGGACGAGACTAGAAATGTTGTCCTGTCCTGAGAGTGGCAGGACGAGTCTTTTAACAGGACAGAACGGAAAAAGCTTGACCTGTTCTCGTCTCTGTTTCCAGTTCACACTATTGTAATTTGTTGATTCCATATAATATCTCCTGTCTTGCATCATTACTTTCAATATTTCTTAATTTTTTATTTATCTCTCAACGGATATGTACCCAGCACATTACCATTTTATTATTGGTAAACATTTATTAAAATATATTCCGTATAGCATCGGAACCATCAACTGTCAGAACTTCAAGTATGAATATAGATTCAATTATTTTCTCCAGACCATCGGGTATACTTTTCAAAATAAACTTTTCAAAAATAATCTTCTCATCTTAGTTGTACTTTGTCTTTCTTCAAAATTACTTAGTAAGTACAATTATTACTGAGCGATTTATTTTTTTTGGTATAATTTCAATTTATTAACTTAACAAAAATAATTTTTACTTAGCAATTATTTATCAAACTTGACAAACATCTTTTTTTAATGAGGACCCTTTGATTAACTGAGCGTTCAATATTTTTACTTAGCAAACAATTTGCAGCTTTTTTTTAATGATAAAATCATTATTTATACACTTTTTATGAGGATTAAAATATTGTAAGTAAATTATGTAGGAAGATAAATACAACACAATAATAACCATTGTATTAATCAGGATATTCTAAATGCCTTTTACTGTTGAAGTTGCTAGATTCATGAATCTGTCAGGCAGTGCACTTTTCTTAGTTCTCGATAATCAATTGTTCTTCGAATGAATGGACATCATAGAAAGAAAAGTGACATGAGGATCAGAAAAATATAATCAAACAATTTAGATAAAGGAAAACTAAATGAACTAATAAACAAAATATATAAAGATATATGGTGTTTGTAAATTTTTTCAACAACTCTGTTTTTCAATTTAAACAATATTTATTTTCATAGTAGATTTCTTTAAAAGGTAAAGATTTAGTTAATCACATTATTTTATTCTGTTATAATTCTGATTGAATTACACACATGAGGAGATATAATAAACAAGTCTAAAAACCCAGATAATTTCTACAAAATTGTCTTATAAAGTTCTTTGATAAATCCAACCAGAAGCTCATTTTTTGAGCAGAAATTTGTAATATCTTCCCAAATATCTTTCGATTGACTTAAGCGAACAGCCAGTGGATAGGTGAGTTGACTAAAGAAGAAATGTGGTGGTGGTATATAAAGTGGTTGTCCAGAGAATTGATTGATTATTAACAATTCTTTATAAAATTGTTGACATTCTTCGATATTGTTTTCAATTTCATTATTTGACAAAACAATTTCTGCAAATTTTTTTATTCTATCTCGTAAATTCGAACATTTGTCTAATGAAAAGTAGCTTTTCAATTTTTTCTGTGAATGCTGACGGTAAGGTTTTACAGGTAATTCTTTGCTTCGTGGTGATCTTTCTGAAATGTAGATAAAAGAGATATTTATTATTATACACATTCAGATTGAAATACTCACCTTCTGTTTCATCATATGTATCAAGAAGAGAATGTTTTAGAAATGAAATAATCAAGGCCAATAGAGTCGCTTTGGACGTATTTGATTCTGTTGTTTTTGTATGTAACCAAAGTCTCCAAAGAGAAAAGCAAATTCTGTAATCTCGATGAACACCATGCCAATTGAGACGTTCTTTAGGTCGAAGAGCAAAATCAACACAACCCAAAACAAAACATTTTCTTTTGCTTGAACTAAGGTCCATAAATCGATCAAGTGTTGGTAGATCATCAGATTCAACGAGCTCAAGTGGATTGTAAGTTTTTCCATTGAATGTTACTGTCGGAGGATAATTTGTATCGTTTGACGTCTGATGATCCCATTTGACTAGCATATGACAGATAGGTAGCAGTAAATCTAAATGTACTCGATTGTCTCCTTTCCAATGATATAGAATTTGTCTCCGAACAAGAATATTAATGATGGCATGATCGAGTTTGCCATCAGTGTAGAGTTGATTTAGGTATGGAAGAATTTGATTTTTATTTGGTGTTAATCTTAATTTTGGTAAAGAGATTTTGACGTAACTTCCTATCAATAGTTCGAATTCTTCTGAATCATCTGAAGAAACGAATTTGTTAATTTTGCTAAATGCTTCGATATCTCCGACTTGTTGAATATAACGAAGAAGATTATATTGGCAAGTAAGTCTTTTTTGTTTTTCACTATCTGATTCCGACCTTTCTAGCCAGCAACTAAATATTTTCTTGTCTTTTGAATGTTTCATGGGAAACTGTTCCTAAAATTCATAGTAAAGAAAGTTAAAGTATTATGCCTTGTTAGAAAAAAAAAATGCATAATTACTTGTAAAACATCCAAACTGATAAAATCATAAGTAATAGTCGTTGCCCATAGTGCTACACCTTGCTGTGTCATAGCATGAAAGACGTCTGCCATATGATAATATTGTCCTTGAAGTTTTGGAAATGTCAATTTATTAAGTGGCACATAACCTTTTATGTCTTGATAAAGAAAATAATCTGAGTCACGAGCAACAATGTATGCGTCACGAGTTTGTGCCATTTTAACAATAATAGGATCGGCTTCACCAGTAGCAACATGAACCTCAATATCTAATTTATGTATAATAGTCATAAGTTGTTCATGCAACAGAGGTGGTAGACGACTATGACCATTAACAAATCTGATAGTACTCTCTCGTTTTGGATCACGTCTTCGACGTTTATTTGATTCAAAAATGCCATCAAATACGACGACAACAGATGCACATTTACCTTTAAATTGTTTTAAAACGTTTCGGAATTTTTCCGACAGACCATCATATGCAAACTTTGTTGCTGTTATCTGTTCGGTTATTGGTTTGGTTTTGTCTTCCGCTTTTGCCATATAATAGATGTAATAAAACAGTGAATACCCATCGATAATAATGTTCTTGTCATTTAAGTTGATTGATTTAAATGGATTATTTTTTGAAAAGAGATAATCAAAAATGAAGGTTGTGAAGTATGGTATGCCCATCGCTCAAAGATTTTATGCATCAAATATGTTGCGATCATTTTTTTATAACACCAAATTTGATTTTGGAAAAAGCCAACTGGTGGAATGATTGTGAAATCACTGTATTGTGCAATAAACATGAGTAACCGAAATACATTTGCCTTCGAGGGTCGATTTTTTTTCTTTTCTTTTCTTTTAATGCAGTTTCAAAGATTTTTTTTGGTATTTTGACCTTGCACTGATTAAATAAAAACTTGACTTTTTCTTCCATAGAATCATCATTGCCTTTACTAAAATATTTGGATTTACGAAAATTAATGACTCATATTCAGGAAGTATATTGTTTATTTTCATTAGATAAATTAACAATAATAATTAATGATCTTTAGTTTGAACACAAATCCACCGTTAATAAATCTGTCCAAAAAATAAAAAAGGAATGAGTCATCACTCGTAGATACATCTTGCTATGATAATGTATCTTAATTTGAATAAAAGTGTCCATTTTTGATCGATTCCTATTCATTCTATAGTAGAAATTTACCATGTTGTGAAAATCGTCGCAATTTTGGCGATTTTTAGAAAAATGGACGTGGGTGTCGGGTGTGGATGTGGGTGTTGGTATCAGGTGTGTTTAATCATCGAAAACCCACACCGACACCCATCCAATCATCCACACCCAACCCACACCCTCATAAATGGAAGCTATCTTATGATTTATTTAGCAGAGATGAAATCGTGATTATGGTTGCTAGACTCACACACTAACCCTCAGCCTCATCTATGGTTTCCAACGTTATTAGATTCTGTATAGATGTGTTTATTTTGTTACTGATTTCTGTTTTTCACAGTAGTGTCAAACTTGAAACTTGAATTCAATTGAAATTTCAAGTTTCAAGTTTGAACTTTCAAGTTTGTAATGTGTGTCGTATGGCGGCCACTGCTTTCGTGATCAGTCCTTTCGCGGCACCCACACCAGCTGCAATGTAATGTGAGTCGTTTTGTGGCCACTCCTTACGCGATCAGTCCTTTTGGGGCCAGTCCTTTCGCAGCACCAACACCAGCTGCCATATGATGTGTGTCGTTTTGTGGCCACTCTTTTCGTGGTCCGTCCTTTCGTAGCAGTGTCAAACTTGAAACTTGAAATTTTAATTGAATTCAAGTTTCAAGTTTGGCATATATGGTTTTTCAGAGAGATAATTACAAAAAAGTCGCCAGAGTTAAAGTCTTCCGATGATGATCGGAAATCTAGATCATGAAATGCTTAATTCATCCATCTGTAGTAAGTTGCACTAAGAAGGCATTTCTCAATTTGATAAAAAATAGAACAAATACTATTTTTGAGAAAACAGAAAAACGTTCTGGATCCAGGATGGGATGGATGGGTGTGGATGTGGGTAGGTGAGTAGTAAAGTAGGAATTACACCCACACCAACACCCACACACCCACACCCCACATCACCCCACACCCCACATCAACACCGACACCCACATACCCACACCCACATATCCACACACACACACCCACATACCCTAACCCATACACTCAAACCCACACACCCAAACCCACACACCCACATACCCTCACCCACACCCACACACCCACCCACCCTATATACCTATTAGATAACAATACAACAATTTAGCATATGGTTATGGTTAAAAGAAAGTAAGAATAATATCAACATTAAAAAGCAACAAGGTTGATACAGATAGTGATACTGATGTTAACAATGAACAACCAGCGAATAACAAATAGAAAGGAAATGGTACTACAACAATACTTAGCTTTCGAAAATGATCGTATATAAAAGACCAAAATATTAAGCATTTACTGTGCACCTCAACTGATTTTCTCCCTTTTATGTTCTTGCGTTTTTATCACTAAAATTCATTTATTTTTTAACCTCCTGTATATGGGGAGAAAGTCCGGAAAAAGCTGTATCTTCTGGTGTATTCCTATGAAAAAAACAGATGAAGTTTGCAGTATAAAAAAGTATGTTGAAAATATAGTGACATTTTTTTTTACTATAAAATGCCTTCATATTTATTATTTATTGTAGAAATCAAGTAGCGTGAGTAGTTTTAGGATAAAATTCGATAGATACAAGATAGAGACCTGCAGCTTTCACCATTCGAAAGAGGAGATAAATTTGCATAGGTGATCATATTTTAGATATTCCTCAGAAGCTTTACCTAAGTCTTTAGTCAAGTGCTTTACAGATTCAACACTTCTACAGACAAAAAATTGGAGTTTTTCTCGAAAAAAGTCAATTTTTTAGGAAACTTGACCAAAGACCAACGTAAAGCTTCTAAGGAATACTTAAAATATGATCACCTATGCAGATTTATCTCCTCTTTCGAATGGTGAAAGCTGCAGGTCTCTATCTTGTATCTATCGAATTTTATCCTAAAACTACTCACTCTTCTTGATTTCTATAATAAATAACAAATATGAAGGCATTTTGTAGTAAAAAAGAATGTTACTATATTTTCAACATACTTTTTTATACTGCAAACTCCATCTGTTTTTTTCATAGGAATACACCAGAAGATACAGCTTTTTCCGGACTTTCTCCCCATATACAGGAGGTTAAAAAATAAATGAATTTTAGTGATAAAAACGCAAGAACACAAAAGGGGAAAAATCAATTGAGGTGAACAGTAGTAAAATCGTAAATTAAAGTACAATTAAAACATTTTTTAAATGTTTCATGTAAGACTCTCATTTTTGCTGTATTCAATAAAGTACATTCTAATGCATTTCGACTATTTATATCAATATTGATAAAACAGAAACATACTCTAAACCAGGCTTGCCGATTAGGGGGGGGATGGGGGGGGATTTCCCCCCGCTAAATTCGGATCCTTTCTGCCAATTTTTTTCCGCTGTATTTCTACGTTTTTCTGCTGAAAAATATTTTTTCTCCCTTTCGTACAACCTATGTATAAACAAAATTTAAGAAGATGAATTTCTCAAAATTTCCTCTCCGCGGTGCATGCATACTTATTGATTAGTGGTAGCAATGCGAACAGTTTAGTCATATTATCCCTCTTTCTGGCAAAAATAGATAGATAGCATCAATAATATATTTTCTGCAAAATTCCCGCAGAAAATCAACTTGAGAGTACTTTTCTTTGGCAGAAAGCTCATATGTACTCTTTGCCTAAAATTTTTGGTGAATTTCGGTCTGCTTTACTGCTCATTGTCGGGTTGTGATTCCAACTGTGTCCAATATACGACGTGTAAAAGTGAATTGAACTTATTTTATTCAAAATAATTTATATTTCAACGAACCCATTCGTCATCGGCACAGTGAACAATAAATATGTTATATATAAAGTGCTGGCAATGCGAATTTCAAGCAAAATTTTTTTTTCACCTTTCTTTTACGTCATTTGATAGAATGTGAGCTGCTGATAACGAAAAACTACTTTTTAGCGCCAGAAAATGCTTCTTCCGGGTCGAAAAATACCAAAAAATACATCGTTTTCAAAATGTGCAAACTTTTCTGCTTCCTTCTTTTTTCCAGCTTGTAAAGATATTTTTTTCAAATTCAGCATAAAAAACTGAGTACAGACAAATTGTTAGATCGAGTCCAATCTAAAGAATTTTTTGATGATGGTGTTTCGAATCGCACCGAGTGCAATACGTATAGGCCGATTTTGTAAGCCTATCTAGTTTTTTTACGTCAGAGATGAAGTCAAATATTTTATCGCATTTAACTCATCATACCACCAGTCACAAAAGAACGCATCGCGTTTTTTTTCTTTTCTTTTCTTTGTTGAGAACTGTTTTTCTGAATTTTGGGTTAAATAGATAGAATTTGACTCGTATTTCTCCATTTTCTTCATAAAAACTAAGCTTTCGTGCAATAACCTTATCATATTCGGAAGCACCGCGAAAAACTGAATCGATTAATGTATGTTTCGAAAAATTTCGTCATCTTTAATTTTTTGATGAAAATTTCAGCCAGGTCTTCTCCGAAAATTAAAAAACTGAAGTCAATGGAAAAGGTTAAATCATATATCAATGGATTCAGTTTTTCGTACTGATTCCGAATATGATAAGATTATTGCACGAAAACTTAGTTTTTATGAAGAAAATGGAGAAATACGAGTCAAATTCCATCTATTTAGCCCAAAATTCAGAAAAACAGGCTTTTCTCAACGAAGAAAAGAAAAAAAAACGCGATGCGTTCTTTTGTGATTGGTGGTATGATGAGTTAAATGAGATAAAACATCTGACTTCATCTCTTACTTAAAAATCTAGATAGGCTTACAAAATCGACCAATGCGTATTGCACTCGGTGCGATTCGAAGCGCCATCATCAAAAATTTTTTTTGAGATCGGGGTCGGTCTAATAACTTGTCTGCACTCAGTTTTTGATGCTGAATCTGAAAAATATGTCTTTAGAAGCTGGAAACAAGAATATAGCAGAAAATTTTGCATACCTTGAAATCGTTTTTTTTCGAAAAAAACGACGTCCTTCAAGTTTTTCGTGATCAGCGGCCCACACTCTATCAAATGATATAAAAAAAGGCAAAAAAAATTACTTGAAGTTTGAATTGCTCGCACCTAAAAATGTCTTCATTTTTTGAAAGTTTAAAAATATTTGGAAGTGTCTTTGCTTTTTGTCGAACATGAGCTTGTTTGTTACTCTGAAAAGATTTCTCGATGAACTAAAAATTGTAAAAAAATTGACTTTCTGCCAAATTTTTCTCCCCCCCCACTCCTAAAAACAATCGACAACCCTGCTCTAAACTATTAAATTGAACGAAATAGCAAATAAGAAAAATAATATACGAAGAAAGAAGATAAATGATAACAAGAATTTTGCATTTCTTCTTTTTTCTTGATGTTTGTTATATATATTATCTTATCCGAC